ATATATATATATCATTGTTTCAAAAAAATTAATCAGCAAATATCCCCGATAATTAGCAAGGACGTGAAAAATCTTCGTTTATTCGTAAACCGTGTCCGGAGTATTGTTCTTTCGTCGATGGATCTAATTCTATATTATCCATCATCCATCATCCATCCATCCATCCATCATTCATCCATCCATCCATTCATCCATCCATCCATCCATCCATCCATCCATTTATTTTTTCTTTATCCTCGATAAATATACTCGAGTTGATGTAACGAGTCAATAGTAAGATATTCGTATCGTCGAATTAACTGAACGTGCCCTTTTCATTTATTTTTATATTTTCTTCGTATCATCTTCTTCTTCTACTTATCATCATCGACTTCCGACCCGAGTAACAATCGTGACGATCATCATTGGGATGACCCAGAATCTCGGTGTCGGCGCTCTCCGTTGTGATAATAGAGAGAGAAAAAAAAAAAGAAAAGAAAAAAAATCCATGAGTGATCCTCGGCGCTCAGGTCTCAGAGTCTAGAGACCTGATCAAGTCTAATACACCAAGTCGTTGGACTAAAAGCAGCAACCTTTATATACTTTCACCTATTCCTTTAATTCCACCTCCATCTCCACCTCCGCTTCCGCCTCCACCTCCGCCTCCACCTCCACCTCCACCTCCACCTTCACCTCCACCTCCATCTCCACCTTCTTCGATTTATTCGATTCCCTTCTGATCGACCGTGTCAGGATATATCTATTTCTATCTCATACTCTTTCCTCTTTCCTCTTTCCTCTTTCCTCTCTTGCTTTCCCTCTCTCTTTCTCTGAGTGATGCAGAACATGATGCAAAATGGTCGTCCCGTTATCAATCTAGACATCTTATTTCTTTTTCCTTTTTCATTGTTTTCTTTTTCTTTTTTTTTTAATTTCATTCTTAAACACCAGTGTGATTGAATATATAAGAAACATTGCTATCCTGATGAACAGGTGGTCCATGACAAGGGGCACGTCTCGTTGACGAATTATTATTGTTATTGTTGTTATTGTTAACATAATAGGATGACTTTCTCATGCTCGTTGACGAGGACATCATTGCTACAGTTTCGTAATATCTTAATTTACCGCAGCAACGGCCGCTTTTTAATATCGCGACGAAGCCACGTCTATATTTCTTGTTGAAAAATGCATAAAGGATCGGATTGATACAGGAATTGCTTGCACCGAGCCATTGAGCTATTGGTGTTGCTATAGGTAATATCTCATCTTCTTGACCGGCAACATCACCGCCTAATTTTATTACTGCGAATATTACGTAAAGAGGTAGCCATGATAGGACGAATAGGATAACGACGACCACCAACATCTTCACCACTTTCACCTTTGACTTTTGCTGTATCCGTTCCATTTGGGCGTCCTTCGTGTCGGTTGGTATATGCCTACGCCAAACTTTTATCCAGATCAATATGTAACAAAGTGATATCAGGATCATCGGTAATACATAACATAGAGTCAAATTTCCAATCAAAAAGAAGAGGGAACCATCCTCGGGACGTGGCCATGTCTCCAAACATAACCTCAAATCTGGATCATCTTCGTAAATCGATACTAAGTTGAAATACACCAACCAAGGCGATGTTATCGTCAATGCGATGAACCAGATCACAACGATCATCATCCTGGCCCGTCGTTTTGTTATCTGACATTTTAGTGGCCACCAAATTGCCAGGAACCTAAAAAGAAAAAAAAGAAAAACAAAGAAAATTATTTCATTATAATTTATTCATCGTTGCATTTTCATGAGAAATTTTTTTATTAGGATATCTATTAAATGAGACTAATATCTCGATTATTTTCTAATTCTTTTCTATTCTTAATTAATAATATATCTCTCAATTAATAATAATTCTCTCAATTAATAATATATCTTATCTCTCATTATAAATATATATATATATATCATATATTATGTATAATAAATATTTATAATGGAGTTGATATATATGAAGATTAACTTGGTGACAAATCTCCTAGCAAATTAAAACTTATTTATATGTATTCTGTTCCATTTTCAATTCTATTCGTAGTTACGTTTATGTGTGTGTAAATATATATATATATATATATATATATATATATATATATATATTGGCATATACATATATATAATTTGGTAAATGATTTCATGGCTGAACACTTTGAGATTCCTAGTATCGACTAATAGATATTTGATATATATCTAACTAACGTAAAATTATTATCTGTAAAATTGTTAGAAAATAAAGAAATAATAATTGGATTCGCAAGGTATAATATAATAAAAGTTGTGATAAAAATCACAAAGCTTAGGAATAAACGCCAAAGGCATTCGAAAACCGATAACTTCGATAATCAAGTTAAAGAGAGCTATTCGCTTTAAGGCTCTTTCTCGTTTGAAGATAGTAATACGATCGTTTTAAGGATAGTAATCTAAACCCTTGTCTCGCGTATCTCTCGACAAATTACACTGTATCCAATCTATCCACGTTTGTTTTTTTTTTCCCCGATACAACATACTGAAAACAATTTCTGGAATTTCAACTAGTAACCATTAATTTGTGGTGTTAACACGGACTCTTTCTTATTCTTGTTTTTTCTTCTTTTTTTTTTTCTTTTGCATTTTATTATTTTTTCTTTTTTCTTTTCTTTTTTTTTCTTTTTTCTTTTAATCTTTCTTTCTCCTTTCCCGTTTCCTTTTATGCTCGATCCTCGCACCTGTCGTCAAAACTTTTCACGAATAAAATAAAACTTTTCCTTTTCTTTTCGACCTACATACATACATACATACATACATACATAATACATACATACATATATATGTACGTACGTACATACTTGTACGTTCCTAAAATTTCTATATATATGAATTCTAAATTATTCTCGGCTTGTTTGACATCATTTTTAATATGTCGAATGAAAATGTTTATTTCGAAACTCTTATAAATTCCGTCGATAAATAGATCGCATTGCGATCTATGACGAAATCAGGACGGAAAGAACAAATCAAATATTTTAATTGGATACTCAGACCGATAATATGTAGATCATATTCCGGTTTATGTAATTGTGACGGCGAATTGTTTAACGATCGGAAAATCAACTGGGATATTATAGATTGATAAACGAACGACGAACATACGAATATTACAACTTACATAATTATCCTGATCGATTATACAGGTTGTCGGGAATGAAATCAGGTTCGGTGTTAAAAGGAAATAACTGTCTTAATAAATGAATACGCGTTACACAATAACAAATAGAAATATTTCAATTGGTTGAACACAAATTTTTTTTCAATTATATACTCGTTTACTCCCCCAAAATCAATGATTTAGAAAGTTAATATGATATGTTAAATTGATACGATAAAATGGTATATAAATATGATAAACTCGTTTATGCCACCTCCACAATCCAGTTTCCATATTGAAACATATAAAATATACTTGGTTCGAAATACGCCCTGATGATATTTTTCTCGTTTTCGTATTTTTCTTTTTTCTTTCTTTAATCTACCATCAAGGAATATTCCATTCTCTCTTTCGAAAGATACGCGTTTATACTAGTCACGCTTCGATGGGTTTCTAAGGTTTACGCTTCGTGAAAATAATAATTGAACGCGCATGCGTTCTAGTATCTAACAACTATGAGTATGGTTTTAAAAAATATACCCAATACATATACATATACATATTGTTACGAACGAGCCTAAAGGTATTTAGAATGAACTCGGATAAGCCGTTTAGATAAGCCGTTTCTCAGTTACCGAAAAGATTTTGATATATAAGGAGCATTCGTCTAACTCACGAACCGTTTCGAGATATTAGATATTTTTAGAAAAAGAAATTATTCATTCGTAAATAAGAGAATTGTATACTTTTCAATAAGGAATTTAATATTTTAATAAAGATACGTTTACATTGAAAATATAATAGTGTATATATATATATATATATATATATATATATATATATATATATATAATATTATATTTAAACGATATGAATAATAATAATAATATTTATATTACTATATGTATATATATATATATATATATATATATATATATATATATATATATACATATATGTATAATATTAAATTTAAACGATATTAATAATAATAATAATAATAAAAGTATATATATATATATTATTATATTTAAACGATATTAATAATAATAATAATATTTATATTACTATATGTATATTTATTTATTTATTTATTTATTTATTTATTTATTTATTTATTTATTTATTTATTTATTTATTTATCCGAAGTATCTTCCGTGAGAACGATCGCCGATCGTTACGTATTACGATTATTCTGACAAGTAGGTAAAAGGTTAAGGTCGCGGAATTCCGTAAAGATTTTTTCTTTTTTTTTTTTCTTTTTTTTTTTTTCTTTTTTAATTGAAATCAATAAAACACTCGTTGAATGACATTAAAATGCAACAAACATTACCGTCAATAGATGTTACTCTTTGTAATGCAAATGTGAGGATGACTCACACATAGAAGATATTTATCGTAGAGTATTCTCACGATGAAAGGAAGAGAAAGAAGGATGATGATGGTCCTCCTCTTTTACATTGAAACGTTCTCTATTCCAAAGAAATAATTCGTTCGCGTTTCTTAATGATTTCCGGATATCCCCAATAGTATTGGCATGAATAAAAGGAGGGAAAAGTATGATAGAAAAAAAAAGAAAAAAAAAAAAAAATAAAAAAGAAAAGAAAAAAAAGGTGAAGAGAAGTGAAAAAGAAAAAAAAGAGAAAAGACTTGCAAGTCTCAAAACATTAGCTCCTAATTTAATCAACCCTACGATAATTCATTTCTTTTATATATATATTTTTTTTTCGACCCGTTGTATTGTATCTTTTTTCTTTCTTTTTTTTTCTTTTTTTTTTTTTCTCGAGATCTTTCTCGATCGTAACAATCGGTTTTTGCGTCCTTCGATTGCGATAAATGAATTGTCGACGTCTACATTAAAAGAAAATTCCTCTCTATAAATCAAGGGTGATCACGATATCGATCTGTACCGATCGTTCGTTTTCTCGATCGAATGTTTTCTCGATTTTTTTTTTCTTTATTTCTATCGGTGGAAGTGACAACGCGGAAGAAAATGATTTGAGGAAGAAAGAAACAAGCAAACAAACAAACAAACAAATAAAGAAAAAAGAGAATAAAGAAAAATACACAAACACACACACACATATACAAATATATATTTTTTCTCTGTAAGAGTTAACAATGGTTATATATTATTCGTTGATAGGCACGATCAAGGTCGCAAATGCATTATAGTGGGGCAAACGATGAGTACAACAAAGCTTTCGACAGAAATATATAAAGAGTTCGGTTTTTCTGCAGTGCTAACAGTAGCATCGATTCCGCGTTCTCTTCGTGTTTGCGAACGGAAAGCCGATAAAACGTTTAACATGTTCAAACTGGCAAGTATTTCAGCCATTTTTCCATGTACGCTTTTATACAATACATAAAATCTAGATTTAAGTTTAGTTATCGATATATTTGTATCCGTTATCCCGTTATAAAAATTCATCAGAAATTACCACCGATTCCATATTACTTTTTACTTCCCCCTTTCTCCTTCCTTTTTCTCTTTTCTCTTTTTTATTATTATTATTATCATTATTATAATTATTATTATTATTATTATTATTATTATTATTATTATTATTATTATTATTATCATGATCATCTTTATCGATATGGTATCCTTTATCAGAGAGTATAGCTCCTGCCAAATTACTTTCCATTTGTAGAATTCCATTGATAGGAATCAGCAACGATTGAATACACTCTTTCGAGAATACAAAAGGGTCCAATCAAGGTGCATCTTTAATCCTTTCCGCGATGAAAACTCAGCGAAAAGAAAAAAAAAAAAAAAGGAAAAAAAAAAGAAGAAGAAGAAGAAGAGAGAAGAAAAAAGAAGGAAAGAAAGAAAGAAAGAAAAAATACTTTTAGAGATGCTACACGTTTCATCGTAAACCCCGCGCTGAATGTATTCCCCCGAGAAGAAAATGTACGAATTCGCTCTTTTTATCGTCCCCCCTCATAACCCCCTCTCCCCACCCCCCATCCCTCTTATCGATCGCTATTCACGAATATGGTATCGGATCAACCCCTCGGCGTCAAATTATTTGCAGTTTCGGTAACTTTAAATATCCAATATATTCTTCCTCGAGTAGAGTGAAACTTTCTTAGGAACCTATCTATTAGAGCGTCGAAATATTAAAGACGTTATAAATCTCTCGAGTTTATTTCGAAAAGTAAAGTATTCAATTTTTCTGTCTCTCTTTTTTTTTTTTTTTTTTTTTTTTTTTTTGACAAAAAAATATATATATATACTTTATATATAATGAATTTATAAAAAGAATTAATATATATATAATATATTCTTGAAAAATAACTTCACTAGATATCTTTACACACACACACACACACACACACATATATATATATATATGTATATAGTAAATAAGTATATTGGCGAATTGGTGCACATACAGATTGGAAATAGATTTTACTAATGGAAGTTTCGCGTCTCTCGATGAATAAGATCATTCGCCTAAGTCGATTATTTCTAATAGGGATTAAACGTAATGATTGATTTTATATTTTTCAATACTAATCGATCGAATTGTATTTATAGATTTTACTGATGTTGACGATTATGCTGACGAGTGGTGTTTTGAGTGCACCAATGCCTGAACCAGAACCAGGACCAGTTCCACCATTATTGGGATCACATAGCCTGATATATCCACAAAGTTACGTTAAAGTTATACCAGCGATACATCCACCTACTGTACCATTGGCCTATCATCCTGGCTACAAATGGATTCATCCTGGCTCGATTTATCTCTACTAAAAATATTTGAATGAATAAAGGGTTGAACAGACCCCCACCCATTGCCCCCCACCCCTATAGAAGAAATCATCGATCGTCATCGATCTTTCAATATTCCCTTTAAACGATAACTATTATTTTCTCACAAATAAAAAAAAAAATATATATATATAAATATAAATATATATATATATATATTTATTATAATAATTCGAGAAATTTTTCAACGAATGTTTATTCGTAAATATTACCAAATGTCTTTTCAATTCGATATTTTATATTCAATTCAACGATAGCACTGGTTTATCAGGAAATTTTTTATCGGATCGTATAAACGCACGATTCAAATTCGGTTTGCCAGAAAAAAGAAAAGAAAAGAAAAAAAGTATCTTTTAGTTTTTGCCATTTAAGTTGTTAGCCACATAAATTGAGATAGGTATATAGATATGTAACTGGTACTTCATATAATCTCTAGACTCGAAGTATCCACGTTCGAGTCGATAAGAAGAATCTCATGGATATAAAATGTAAAAGAACGTAGTCCTTGCCAGAGAACCGCAAACGATTTTTCCTATGACTCTGAAGATGTTATAGAAATAAGAGTGGTGGAGGGTTAAAAAAAAAAAAAGAAAAAAGAATATTGAGAGGGATGAGAGTGGGATGAGATAGAGAACCGTCTTCTCGATTCCATCGTGTGCTATTCGTAAAAGAAATTCTCGTAAAACGATAGGGATGGGAGGAGGGGGAGGATAGGTGGTGGTAGTGGTGGTGGTGGTGGTGGTGGTGAAAGAGTAAGAGTAAAAAAAGATAGCGACATACATTCGAATACCACCGAGTATGTATATGTATCCGTGTAAATACATACATACATCCATAGACCAAACACCAATAATATGTGAAAAAAGTACATTTGGGCGAATGCTCTTTTATCGTTCTGTAGGTAAGGTCGATGCTAGATCATAAAATTCTTCATCTTAGACGATGACCGAATCATTTTCTTCTAGATTTCTTTTTTTTTTCTTTCTTCTTTCTTCTTTCTTCTATCTTTTTCTTTTTCTTTTACGCATATATATATATAGATCATCTTCTCATTATGTTTATGAGAATTTATTTTAGAAAATCGTACGAAATTTATGACTACCCTAATATAGACCCTAATACTAAGTAAATACTTAGCTTTCAGGCGTATTAAAAGACGATAGCAAAATTGAAGAAAGAGAGAAAGAGAGAGAGAGAGAGAGAGAGAGAGAGAGAGATAGATAGAAATTTATTCGGTCGATCGAATGAACGAAAACAAGGATATATTTTTTCTAAGTTGCAGTTTTATAAGGACTGAAGGAAAATAAGTTGAATCGTCTAAAAAGAAGAATTCAAAGGGTTTTACGAAGGGTTCTTTTTCCAATAGTATGTGTTTTTTTTTTTTCTAATATAAGAAGATCTACCTTTAAGACATAATTCGATGTTAGTCTTATCAAGTTCTGATAATGGTAGTGGTAGACCAGGGAGAGTTTAAACAAGATTAATCGGAGTTTAATCTGCTCGTTTATCGACGAAACAACCTGAAACATAGTTATACGTAATGCTTCCAGATAGTAAATCCCTTAGATCGTTCTATGAGAAAGCAAGTGTGAGAAATCGACTAGTATGTCTCGATAATGATCGCTAGACGAGATACGATCGAGGATATGATCGTAGATTGTGTCGTTCGTAGAATCTAATAATAGAGCTTCTGGATCACGATGGATCGAGATGAGAGGGTAAAAAGAGTGACATGACTTTTTTTTTTGTTTTTTTATAATTAAAATTTTATTAAAATTCCATATGAAAGTTGGTAGGGATCAAGATGAGGGGTGTAAGGGTGAGGAAAAGTGGGAGGATGATTAGACAAATATTCGAATTTCAACGATGGCGAATCTCCAAGAATTAAGAAATAATCAAATTTCCAAGTTGGCCGTCTCAATGTTGGTACTCGCCTAATAATTGCCAGATTTGCCGATTCGAAGTCCTCTTCCACGTAATTTCATTCGCCAATTAATCGTTTTTCCATAATTAATTTTCCGGCGTATGAACTGGGGAATGTACTGATTGTGTTTGGTTGCTGTGCGTTGGTGACTTGACGGGGGGTGTGGGTGTGGGGGGGAAGTGGGGTTCAAGGGATGGTGTAAAGTCCGTCCTTTTTTTTTTTTTTTTTGTGTGTTTTGTCGTTTCTCCGAGCCTATGGTCTATTCATCGTCACGCGAGAATGCAATCAACGAGGCTTTAGATGATATGAGGGATGTTGTATTGTCTCGGGGGTTGTTCTTATCTCGTCATGACTGTTGGTTGGTTGGTAAGGTTGATTGGTTGATTGGTTGGTTGGTTGGTTGGTTGGTTGGTTGTTTTGGTGGTGGTGGTAGGTTGGAGATTTATCGTCGACGCTATTGTCTAACCATGAAGAGGAGCAGCGAGAAGAGGTGCGGCATAAGCGGCATGGTTAAGGACGGTCCTGGTGACGATGGGGGTCTGGTGGACAGCCGGGGCCACGGGTTGGGCAACGACATGAGCGGCAGCTACGGGAACTGCAGCAGCGACCACTTGGGGAGCGTGGATTGGGCCAGTTCCAGGGCTGATGGCGATGCCAGTAAGACCTCCGGGAGCGGCAACAGCGACGGCCAAAATGGCAGCGAAGACAGCCTAATTTAAATGGTCAACCGCGATATGAGTCAATATTGATCGAAACTTTCTTTTCAAAAAAAAATAATGATTTATGCCGAACATGTGTATATATATATATATATATATATATACATATAGTACATATAGTACAGTTAACGAGCTATCATTATTACCGATGCGTGGGTTGTTTTAAAGTGAATTTACGAGTTTGAATTTCGATCGAAAACTGGTTCGAAATCTCGACCTGTCTCAATGTCTTGAACCTTCGATCGATTACACAAGAACTCGTGCTTTTATCGAGATTAGTGTTGGTGTAAAATGGCAAGAGAATTATTAAAAATGCGTAAATATGCATGTGCTCTTGCACGCACTCACGAGTCTATGTGGGTGTTTGCGTATGCGTGCGCTTGTTTTTGTATACGTGTATGTTTATGTGTATATGTGTAGCTTTTGCGTGCACATATAATCTCGAATAGAAGGTAAGGGAAAAAGAAGAAAGAAAAGAAAAAAAAAAGGGGGAAAAAAAGAAAATAGGTGCAATACTAGCTGCATTCCGAGTCGACGCACACGGAGCACGACTCACAGGAGGCCTGCTGCTGCACAGTGTTGGCTAACAATGTGCATGCTCCAGTGATTTCGCTCGCTCCGATTTTTGTGACCCGAGACTCGAAGCCATTCGAGTGAACGTAAGGGCGCGTCTATGAAACTGTATTTATATGTACGTTTAGATATGCGGGAGTAAAAGGTCGTCGCGATCCAAGTCGAAAGAACCCAAGGGAAAGAAAGAAAAAGAGAGAAAGAAAGACAGAGAGAGAGAGAGAGAGAGAGAGAGAGAGAGAGAGACTCTATTTTATATACTTTCAATGTACTGACTGGTTTTTATCCTAACGCTACTGATATGAACATGAAAAATAAGAAAACGATACATTAAAGCACGAAGATATATTAGGATGTTCCTAACGATAGTTCGATAAGTTACGATAGTTGGATAGTTAACGATTGAAGATATCGAATTAATGATAAAGAAGACATTGTTAATTTTATCGTGATAAATAAGTTACGTGATAAGTAAGATATGATCGATTAAATCGATCGAATTTCATAATAAAACTCTGATGTTTTATGCTTATGTTTAAAGCAAAATGAATTGAAATATTAACGTGAAATATAAATGATTAATGTTATTAATGTGTATTTAAGTGTATATAAATAAAAATATATATTATATCGTATTGTTTCTTACCAGCTTGAACATGGTTGGTTGATTGGGTTGGTTGTTTGCTTCGTAGAAGAAACTAAGCTTATGCTCGGATAGTGCTCGGTCTCCCTTTTATACCAATGTCGAATTTTAAAAATGGTAATAAATTTGCTCACGTGGTCCATTGGGACAGCATGATGTTAGAATACGTTCGGTTGAGTCAGCCGATCGCAAAGTGTAATGGGGGGGGGGAGAAGTTTATGTCTTGACCAATCGTAGATGATTGTGGTACGATACGTCATTCGCGGATCGCCAATCCTGACGGTTTCAACCCTTCGCGCCAATCGCAAGAATTGGGTTAAGACAGTTTGTATATGTGTAAATGCACACCGACGCGCTTACTTGTTCTATGTTACAATGCAAACATCCATGTAATATTCGTAATTTTCTTCCAAAGCCAGTTCTTGAACGTTTAAACCGAACCTTTTTTTTTTCTTTCTTTCTTTTTTTTTTTTTTTTTTTTTTCTTTTCTACTTCCTTTCCCTCTTTTTTCTTTTTTTTTTCCTCATCTTCTCTGTGTTTTACAATAGTTTCGATTGGACGTCTTTTTTTTTTCTTTTTTTTTTTTCTTTTTTTTTTTTTTTTTTTTTTTTTATTTTTTTTTTTTTCTTGAGAAAAAAGAACACACAAAAGAGGGGAGAAAGACAGAGAGAATAAAAAATAAATAAAACGAGCGAAAAGTATTCTTGAAAAAAAATCTTAAAGAAAACAATGGAGGACCATTATAATCATCACAAAATTGTTTTCACTCGTTCGATGTCTGCTTTGGATATCTATTGAAAACTAAATTTTTTCATTCCCTCTCTTTCTCTCTCTCTCTCTCTCTCTCTCTCTCTCTCTCTATTTGTCTTATTTTTCAAAAATAAAATAAATCAAGTTCTATTCTCGTTTGCGGCCTTCCTCTTATTTCTTACGAAAACGAATTCTTTTACCGCCAACATTACTACTTCTTCCGGAAAAAAAGAGAAAAAATTTTTTTTTCTTTTCTCTCTCTCTCTCTCTCTCTCTTTCTTCTCAATAGAAATACGAGACTCACTTTTCGTCTTTCGACATATACCGATTCTTTTCTTCCTCCGACCGAACGATTCCTTTCAAGTTCACCTACGGAAGAAACGATAACACTGAGGGAGAGTAAAGGGGAGGAAGTTGGCAAGAGGGATGGAGTGAAAGAGAAGAAAAAGACGTCTTTTCTCTTATAGAAAAAAAAAAGAAAAAAAAAAGAAAAAAAGAAGAAAAAAAAACATTATTGAATTTTCTCGCAGTTATTATCGTGAAGATTGAAAATACAAATCCCATTTTTCTATGCCATAGTTCTAGTAAGTAATTCTCATGTCACCTTTACGTCTATCAATTCGTTTAATAACGACGCTATATATTGCATTAATGTTTCAGACGAAATTTGAATGAATAATTTAAAAAAAAAAAAAAAAGTAAAGGGGGTGAGGGAAAAAGGAACAAAAGAAAATAACTAGACGTTAATAACAGATCAATAGTTCCCTAGCGTTGCTTATAATTTTTCTGTCAAATTTATGATAATGTAAGTTCGATTACATATATGTATATATATATATATATATATATATATATATATATATATGTAATCGAACTATATATATATATATATATATATATATATATATATGTATTCGTTAATTAACTCATTCTATGGTACTATTAATTAACTCGTTCCAGATAAGTTCGAGAACTATGATATAATGTAAACAAGAAAAAGTATGGTAAAGTGAATTATTTAAAATATCCTTACAGATTTTTTCATTGTTACGCGTTAGTTAGCGTAATAATGACCGCGCTATGCGAATTAAAGCACTTTGTGTGTTCTCCGTGTTGCATAAGAATTAGGAAGTGTCATACGATATCTACGTTAGATGATTATATTAGAAATACGAGGTGATACGTTTCCTATGGTTAACAAGCGTTAACCATAAAAGATATCGTATGTCAATCTACAAGAAATTCTTTTGAAAATCTCTTAGCGATAATTTCGTTCTATTAACTTCTATTTATAACGTTATGGAAACTTTTTTTATTTCTTCTTTATTTTTTTCATTTATTTTTTTTTTTGTTTTTTTTTTTTTTTGTTTTTTGTTTTTTTTTCATAAACCAAAAATATCTAATAACTACGTCGATACATAAATATAAACGAATATTAAGGATAATAATGTTTTCATTTGTTTTTATTTATTTCTTTATTTTTTTTTTTTTTTTCTTTCAGAATGATCCAAAAGAAATAAATTCGTTCGAAGTTAATGGAATTACATCGACGATACGACGGTGTGATATTTTTCAAATGCTATGATATTTGGTGAAAACGGAATCTCTAAAGGGGAAAACAAAAATAAAAAATAAAACGAGGATTCCTCTTTGGGGACGAGGGATGGGGGATGAGGGATGGGGGATGGGAGATGGGAGATTCAATTTTCTTTACGAACTATTTCGAGATAGTGCCGGACGAAGTAGCGTCATCCTTCTCGAAACATTTCGAAGAAGAAGGATCGTTGTTCGGCGTGACCAAATAGATACCGAGATACGTGCTTTTATCAATATCATCGAATCGCATCGTCGAAAGCAAACGATAAAGTTAAAGAGAGTTTGGTCATTTGTACCATCGTAGATAAAGAGAATGAATGAAAATGGTAAAGAGTATGAAACAATCGATATGATCGATCGATCAATATGACAATTCCGAGTTAACGTTGTTGATCCTTTATCGTCGAACAATTTCACGAATATCGTAGATAACTGTTTTTCCTTTTTTTTTTTTTTTCTTTCTTTCTTTCTTTTTCTGTTATCTTCGAATACTGATTTCTACTAACCTTTTGTATTTGCTCTGAAATAAAATCGATTTCGAAATGCTTATACAGGATTATTTAACAAAATATTTATTTAAAGAAAAAAAAAAAAGAAAAAAAAATGAGAAAAAAACAAAAAGAAAAATCAATGTTATCCTTTTCAATCTACATGGATTATATTACGAATGAATCGAATTAAATATCTTCTCGTTGCTCTAAATAAAATTTATATATATATATATAAATAATATATAAATAATATATATAATAATATATATAATCATAAATATATATATATAATAAATATATATAATATATATACTTGTACTTAATCTTTTGGATATCAAAATTCACGTTAAATAATTCGCAAATTAATATATAAATTTCAGAAGGTAAACATTTCTCTCGCAATAGTACATTCTATTATTCTTCTCTTTTTTATTTTTCTTTCTTTTCAATTTTTCTTTTCAAATTTACTAGCGGACGTTGCTCATTGATAATGCTAATTAATCTTCGGACATTAAATTTACGTACTGTTAAATAATTCTCACGAGTTATATATACATTTGAAAGAGAGAAAAAGATAGATAGATAGATAGATAGAGAAAGAGTGAGAGAGAGAGAGAGAGAGAGAGAGAGAAAGTTCAATTTTTCTTAAAAGAATGACTATAACATTTTTATACTTAATATTTAAAACAATGCTCATTCTAATTGATCGATATTAGTATCAATCGAAATATTGAGATATATTTTTATAATAACGCGATTCCTTCGTAATAACATGAAAATCCCAATTGAAATATTTGTGATATTAATTCGAGCGTGTAAAAAAAAAAAAAAGAAAAAAAAAAGAATAAAAGAAATAAATAGAATAAAGATTAATAAATAATCGATCTATGTATATCGAGTATGCCAATATATACGTATAATCATTACGCGATCGCATTATCGAGCGAATGACAAGATAAACGTAACGTGGGGGTAGACGTTACGAACGTGTTGCAAACAGGCCTTTTATTTTCTCTCTCTTTCTCTCTCTATCTCTCTCTTTCTCTCTCTCTCTCTCTTTCTCACTCACTCATTCACTCTACTTATCTTCCTTTTTTTTTGTTTGTTTTTTTTCTTTTTTCTTCTTTTTCTTTTCTCTTCATTTTCATTTTTTTTTCCTTTTTTTTTATTCTTTTCTTTTTTATTTCTTTTTATTTTTTCTTCTTTCGCAAGATTAAACGGCACATTAAGATATAATGTCACATTAACATAGACGTAAACTTAACATAGATAAATATCGTGATCTGTTTGAATTGGAACAGAATTAAATTGTCATACATATAAATAAGTATTTTTTTAATCGATTCGTTTTTATATATTCGTAGAGTTTCGATACAATCAATAATGATATTAACACAATGATGATTAATATTTTTACAATATTTTCACTCGATTGTTAAGATATACGATGAAATTAAAGGATAATTTTGACAATCATATTTTGAAATACGATCGAACGATTCGATTTCAAATCGAATTATAAATATTAGAAATATTTAAATAAGTATCATCCTGTGAATATTTATCGAATGATTTACGAATTTTCACGGTGATTCGCGTCGACGTATAGATCATCCCTATACGCAATGATCAATGAATATTAAATATATTATTTTTTAGGGGAATAAAAAATCCTATTAAATATCGTATCGACGAATTAAGATCAAATTTTATATAACGATATTAATGTAGGATATATAAATGTCGCACGTTCGTTCGACTTTAAAAATTTTACTATATTTCTAAGTTTTCTAATTCCTAAAGGATTTCTTAATACGACAGATACGTAGGAGTCAACGTAAGATAGTCCGTGAATAATTGAGAAATGATTTCTCATTGATCCTATTTCGAACGTCGATCGAGATCATCGATGGAGATATATTAACATATTATACAATCGGTATTACGGTCAATCGATTTATTATTATATGTATTTACATACATATTGTACATACCTGTCGAGTGAAACTGCTACGAGACTGTAAACCGAAGCTGCAACCGATACACCCTGTATATAAGCAACCGCTTTACACATGAACCATCCCAGGATCCAAGCTGAAACAAAAGTCATAGAAATTTAATTTAACTGATAAAAAATGGGGATGATATAGGGGATGGGGATTAAGGGTACAAGAGAACAACAAAGCAAAAAAATCAATTAATATCAACTCAAAAAAATCAATTTATATCAACTGTACGTCGTTAAAGCTCTAATAAAGGTACATATACTTTCAAGTGTTTCTATAGTTGTTTTATCGAAAATAAAATTTAGCAATTAGAATTAAATAAATAAAACAAATTGATCGATTGGCTTTTTTTTTTTTTTTTTTTTTTTTTTCTTTAAATTCAATCGAAATGTATACAAAGTCAAACGATTGATGATAAATGTCATCTTTTGATTTATATACATTTTCTTATCTCTAAGATTAATTACTTAGATTCATTGTTTTTGTTTTTTACTATTTCTTCGTTTTTCTGTTTCTTTTTTTTTTTTTTCTTTTTTTTTCTCTATACGATCTATAAGACGAGGATAAATTAGCGTACGGTTATGTAATCGAAGCCTTTAATTTGACTTTTTTATTCGTTTTTTTTTTTCATTTTTTTTCCTTTTTATTTTTCTTTTCTTTTTTTTTTCTTTTTTTTTTCTTCTTTTGCCCCTATTAACCAAGAAAAGTATTAACTAAGAAACTTATACGAGCAGTTAACGGCACGATCTTTGACCTCACGCTCCCCCCTCCCCTATCCTCCCCTTTCTCTTCACCTGCTCCCCTCCTCCCTGGACCCCCCCGCCTCCCTCTGTTAGATAGACAGAGACAAGAGTTGTTGATCGAAAACGTGCGGTCGATCGGGTGCGGCCTTCGAAAGTATTGTACGAAGTGAAGGGTACGTTACGACCATCAAGGTAGAAAGGTAAACTACATAGTGTTATAAAAGACATAATATAATTATTATTTTCTGACGTATACGTAATTTATCATTATTAATAATAAAATGTAAAAGGAATGAAATGCGAAATGATCGGCCAAAAACCAATATCGAAGAAGTTAAATAGAAAGACGAATAGAAGGCGAAGAAGAATTAATTCGATTTAATCGAAGGCGAAGAAGAATTAATCGAATCGATTGAATTAATTAATAATCGTTTTATAAATTTATTTTATATATTTATAAATTTAATTAATCGAATCGATTGAATTAATTAATAATCGTTTTATAAATCGTATATATTCAATCCTTCGAACTAATCTCATCACTTCCTACACTTCATACCTAAATGTCCCGGTTTTTCTTTTTCTTTCCTAATCTTTACTCCCTTCCTCGTTCCTCCTCCTCCTTCTCCTCTTCCATCCTTCTTCCTCCATCTCAAAAATGAAAATTTAAAAGAGATCTAAAATCAGTCTATAAATTACACGTTGACGATATTATCAACGTAATTATAATCGAGTTCGCGTATACGTATAGGTATACCGCCTGTATCTATGTAATTTACGGGAGAATTGCGCCGTGAAACGGGCCGTGCGGGCCGTGCCGGCCGTGCCGGCCGTGCCGGCCGTGCCGACCGCATTTGCCTGCTGCGTTTGCCTTCACCTGCATTAATTCTGGGCCGCGAAGCGTAAAGCGGCCCCGGTTTATAGAGCTTGGTGCCGCACGAGTGTTAGGTATTTCTGGTTCATGCATGCACTGTTAATTTTCATCTTGATCGATGGATCAAACGTGTTCCATTGGTTCGTGATAAAGCCAATAGATACAACTTATATGGATGAATGATGGTTCGATGGAAAGGGGAGGCGGAAGTTGATTATGAAAATTAAACGAAAACGGAGAAACGGGTGGGGGGGAGGGGATTAACGACGAACGAGGGATAAAATCTTACGTATTATTTCATATTTGATTTCATCTAATTTTAATTTCATTTTCTTTTATTTCATTAGTTTTTATTATAGTTATTTTTTCCTTTTTTCTTTTTTCATGTCATATGTATATATATATCCCAATTTTAGGCCGTTTTATACGATTGTTATCAAGATCGAAAGATCGAAAGATCGAAGAAAAAGATATATCTTCGGATCAGAAGTTCGAAATCATAGATTTCGATCGTTGATATATCCTTCTCTTTTTTCTGTTTTACTTTTTTCTTCCTTTTTTTTTTTTTTTTTTTAGTAGACGCTCGATATCAATACCGAACGATCAAGAAAAATCTCCTATGGGATATTATGTTTTGTCAAAGATGAGAATTTTATAAGAAAAGAAAAAAAAAAAGACAGGGGAAAAAAAAATGCTCGTCTGAAAAGTAAAAACGAATTCGCATCCCTTTCTTTTTATTATTATTATTATTATTATTATTATTATTATTATTATTATTATTATTATTATTATTATTATTATTATTATTATTATTATTATTATTCTTTTCTTTTCTTTTTTTTTATTTTTCTTTTTTCTTTTTTATATTAATTATTTTCTTCTTTTTTTTTTTCGTTAAACGATACGGTTTCTTTTTTTTTTCTTTCTTTTCACGAATTTGCATGTGTACATACATACGTGGATCGTCGAAATGGAAAATTCAATTTCTAGGTAGATAAAAAGATTCGGTAGGATCCACTTTAAAAAGTTGGAACACATGTTGTACGTATTAATGACGTCACGTACGATACAGGACGGTTCTTCCGTCTAGAAGAAGACTACAATGGTTTACGTTAGACGTAAAGCTTTGAGATTCTATCGAGAAAAATCCTCTTTTCTTATTTTTCTGTATCTCTCTCTCTCTCACACACACACACACACTCTCTCTGTCTCTGTCTCTTTCATACTACCATCAAACGTTCCCTTAACTTTTCTCGCCCCTTTTTCCTATCCAACACTCTATACGTGACTAACCTACAAGATAGAAAAGGACTCTTGAAGGAAGTATCCTTTTTTTCCTTATTCGACGAAAACATCCTCATTTATCCTCTCTTATCTTATCAAATATCATGGATTTATCTCGTGGATATATTAACTTTTTAAAATTATATTCATTTCAATTTCAATTTTGATTTCTATTTCGATTTTAAATTCTTATTTTGATTTAGATTACAATTTTAAATTTCTATTTTAATTTCGATTTAATTTTATGATCCTTCTTTCTTTTTTTCTTTATTTTTTCAATAGAAACAAATTTACAATGAGTCGTACCAATTAATAGAAGCATGATGATAATGATGATGATGTTGACGAAACATTTATTAATGTCCAAGGATGAATAAGAGGAAATTGAATAAACAGAATGGATTTTTACGGACGTATAATTTACTTTTCGTTTTTTTTTTTTTTCTTTTCTTTTTTCCTTATTTTTGTTCTTTTTTTCGTTATACTTTCGATCGGATTCGACGAAACATTTATATGAGTGAAAAAGGCGGGTGAACAATGTAAAAAAAAAAAAAAAATAAATAAAAATAGATAGGTAGATAAATAGAGAGAGAGAGAGAGAAAAAAAAAATTAAAAAATTCTTGTTTTTCTTTTGTTATTTTTTTTTTTTTTTTTTTTTAATCAGAACGAAACTTCGAATATTTCATTACGAAATTCGTATCATTGATAACGTTCATTGAGTACTGATAAGTTTGGAAAATTATTATTTAATATATTTCCCGATTAACACGATTCATAACGTACACTCTCATTTCCTAACGCTCTCGATATAAATGGTATTTTAATTCATACGAAATTGTTGTCCGTTATATGTGCCAATATAATTAAGAGACATTAATATCAAGAAATTATCTCACACGACATTTTTGAAAGTTACGAAAGTGGAATCATTAAGTTTTATTTCATAACCCATTAATTATTCACGTTTAACGATTACTAATATTCTCGATCGATCTAAAAAAAAAAAAGAAAAAAAGAAAAAAAATAAAAAAAAAAAAAGAAACACCATACTTTTTCTTTTTTCTCTTAATAATCGAAACACGAAACATCCCGCCTTTTTATATCGATCATTTATCCTTCTTTAACTTATATTATGATCCATTCTAATCCTTTTTAATCCTCGAAGCACAGAAATACGTAGCACAATTATATTATCTATGTAATCAAATATATGTATCTGTAAACCCTATGTCATAGGGTTTTTTTTTCTTTTTTTGTTTTTTTTTTTTACGACGAACGATTTGTACAAAGACAATTTACACCTTATAATTTTCTTCGTTCTTTCTCGAAAAGGAAAAGGAGACAAAAAAAAATATATATATATATATATATTTCCTTTTTTTTTTTTTTCTTTTTATAGAAGAAATATCGACACAATCAAAAGTTGAAATATTTTAACAACCGTGGAATATAACAACCGTGAATTTCGAATTTAATCTCGATATCTACAAACTTGGTATATGCGATAGAAAAGGATAGATAATGTGACAGAGAATAAAAAAGAGAGAGAAAGAGAGAGAGAGAAAGAGAGAGGGAGAGAGAGAAAGAGGGAGAGAGAGAGAAAGAGAGACGTGTGTTATTCAACCTACGAACTGACCGTTCGTTCGGTACTGGCGAGCGAGTTCCAACCGAGTCACGTTTTATATCTAAATGCAAAACATTTTTCCAATTGCCACCAACCCACACGCTTTTACATATATAGTTAAATTACGAGAGTAGTTTTATATACGCGCGTACACGTTTTCTCTTTATCTATATACTTTCACTGTTTTCTACGGTCGATTGGACAAGGTCCCAACGGCGACGTGTTCGCACACTTAAAACGTAAACACGTTTATTTCATACGACTATTTCTAATACAATACAATTGACCGTACGTTCGCGAATCGAATTTTTCAAAAGAAACTTGTTTCAACCAATCGCACATTTTTATTTCCTCTATTTTTTTTCTCTCTTTTCTCTCTCTCTCCCTCTCTCTCTTTCTCTTTCTCTTTCTCTTTCTCTTTCTCTTTCTCTTTCTTAATCATTGTCCGTCTTTCTATCTGTCAGCAAAAAAAAAAAGAAAAATTCAATAAAACGTATGATTGACTCTACGATTAGCGATTAATTCTACTGTTATTAAGTATATATACATATGTGTGTGTGTG